GGTTTAGGTTAGTGCTAGGTTAGGTTGTTTCCCCCCCTCCCCACCGGAAGCCCCCACCCCCGAGCAAAATGACGTCCATGTTCCGAGGAAAGATCATCGAATGGCCCAAACTTAACGACATCCACACTGGGTTTTCGCATGTTCTCACGTGTATGTTGGCCACTATTTTTGTTATTGAGGCTTCTCAACCCACCATGCCCATGGCACCCGACATTTGGAGTCTAAGCCGCGCGCACTCCAAAGATGCGTGTGCCTTTGTGGAGATTTCAGTTTCCATGTTGTCGGGTTGACGTCACCCTGCCTGGATTAACCTGCCGTTTGCCGCAGGGCTTGGGGCGACTTTTACACCGGCTGGGGCGACTGAAACGTAGTGTAAGTACCACGACCAGTTCTTGTATTAGGTCTAATTTCAGTTAAATGTTTGCATGCTCACATGTACGTCCAGACACACACACATGCATATATACTTGTATGAATGTATGTATGTGTATGTATATATAATGATATATATATATATATTCAGATGCATACATATGTACATATTTGTAATTGTACACGCCTATACACCACGACAAATATGTACATGTATACACACAACTGCACAGATACCGTCTACATATACGCGTATGAATATATCTAGTGAGGTACCTACATACATACAAGCACGCATTGAGTATTCACATTTACGTGCACATTTATGCATATATACACCGCTATGTATATGCATACATATTCATGCACGTACACGTATACTTAATATATATATATACACATGTAGCATATATATATACAGGTGCATATGTCAATTATACAAATGTATACATATGCACGGGTATGCTTATAGACACACACACATGCATATATATATATGCACATACATATGTAGATAAGCACACAGTTACTATATGTGTACTGTGTACACATCTTTATGCATATACGCATGCACAAATGTCTTCCTGCAAGCACATATGCAAGGACACACACACACACCTTCTGACGCATACACATGTTATACGTGCAGGTATTCATACACACATGTATACAACAACCATTGATACAATAATGTGGATGTATATATGCATACATACTATGAAAATATATACATGGATACTTATGTAGGTATATACATATGTACATATATGCAGATATTCTGCTGTATATTGATAAATACTGTCAGAAACAGGCGTATCAGTATATGCGTGCAAACATGTGCATATACATGCATGTATATATACATATATGTGCGTGTATACATATGCGTAGAATGATATATGCACACACACACACACATGTAGACTTATACAGATACACATATACACAAATGTAGATGTTTCCAGCATTGTTTATGCGTTTATTTGTTTGTTGGTTGTCGCACACTACGTTGAATCGACGCATGGCCCAGTTGCGACGACTCAATCTTGGGAATAGGGACTTCGAAGAGTTTCTGGGGAATTCGGGAACTGGGGATGAGGGGCCATGATTTCGCATAGTGGTGTATGTTTGTAGCTGTCCAACGATCTGCAAACGTTGTCACAGACACCGTACATTGTTCAGAGGTTTTTCTTGCAGTTCTAGATTGAACCTTCTTAGAACTGCGTGTCTATGTACCATCGTCTTCTGGGAGTTGTCACAGCTTCCGTCCAAGTTTCCTCTAGGAACCCCTGGCCCCACTCTCGCTCAGACATTTCTTCAAGCCATCACAATCTGGGTTGAGTGGGTCCTAAGCAGGGCCGCTCGTCAGCGGGCCCTTTGCATTCCAGCACATGCTCTCGCTTGCAGCATGTGGGTGTAAAGCTCCCAGGCGGATGTGGGCATGGTGACCAAGTGGACGTCATAAGTGTAAGTCACAACAACAGTTGAGGGACGCTTTAGGTGACAGCACAGCAGATGCTATGTCAAGAAACCTCCTGGTGTTTGCTTGATGTCATCGTGCAACGCAGAGCTTTAGGTTCCTCCATACATTGACCAGTGCTAGAAGCTTGGAAACATGCTGGATGTTTGTTGGTACAGGCCTCTATAGAAGGAAGACTTTGGGCCAGCGAAACGGGGAAGATATCAACGCGTGTAGTGTTGGGACACGAATGTAGCCGTTGACTACATAAGTTCATTTCTGGAAAGGCATGGAAGAGGAACCAACGGAGATGGAGGCCTGGTTGAAACGTTTTGCAAGTGTGCGGGAAGATGCTAAGTTGAACCCGGCTATTCTTCAGCCGAGCATACCCGGATTTCAGCCGGCGCCTGCCAGCCAGTTTTGCGGAGCAGCGGCTTCGCAGGTCGAGGGAGAGGGCGGTGGTCGAAGTAGTTCCGCAGACGCCGGAGACTGCTTGCAGGGGTCAGACCGCACGCTAGAATCCTGGGTTCCGCAGTGGCTTTCATTGGATTTTGGTGAGCCCAGTGTGGTACTCACCGCCGACGAACAAAGCCACTCCGTGACCATGGCGGACGAGATGCAAGTCTTCCGCAAGAAGGTGCGGCAGTTGTGCTCACGACAAGCAGGGTGTCGTAAGGGTGTGTCATGTACATGGAAAGGTTCGGCAGGATCACCAGCTCGCACCGTGTGGTTGTCGCAGTCGCGTCTGCAGGTGGACGACTGTTTTGGGTGGAGCGGTAAAGTTCTCTCGGATCAACAAAAGCAACAGCGCGGGGCTGCGCAGGCGTGCTTGTTGTGCCTGATCCACACAGTTCAGTTTTCGGTCAGTCTGGACGGAGACTTGTAGTATATTGGTTTTGCAGCACACGAAGTTTACTTGCAGTGTGTGTGTGTGTGGCTTGAGGTTATTGGAGGCCGGTTGCGACGATGGCAAGTCAGAACTTCTTCTATGCAAGGTGTTCACATTAATTGCTGGCGAACTCTTCCGTTCTCATGGCGGTCAGCTGTTTGAATACAGTAACGGTGCTTGGGCTCCTGCTTCTCGGGGGCTGACTTCGGTTGCGCTGGAATTCATTTTGAAGGCTCTGCGCAGAGCACAAGCGTACTTCGGCGTCATGGCGAATGATGAAGACTGCAAGCAGCAGCGTTGTTTCAGCTTCGTTGGATTCGTTGTCAAAGTGATTCAACATGTAGGTGGGGATGAAGTCCTCCTCCAATGGCAGCTCCAAGATGTGCTCCCAAAAAAGACGGAGTTGAAGGCGAAACATTGGGCTCATGGCTTGAGTGAACTATGCAAAGTGCTCCGTCACCAGTTCGATGAGCACCACAGGCACTGCAGTAACAGTTTGGGGTGCAGAGCTGCGTGAGTGTGTTCCTCGATCGTTTTTGCTTGTTACTGACTTTAGCGTAGAAACTGTCACTGTGAGATAGGATGCAGAAGTGGTCCGGGACACCTGGGATGTTGCAGGGGCAGGTGTGGTTTTCAACAGCCCCGCATACCGCCTCGTGCAGGAGTGTGCTGAAAGTTTTCCATCGGTGGTCCGATGAAGATTTGAGCACCAAGCAGCAGCCGGATGTCTGTTTCCGAGATGCTTTTATCAGCACCGTAGATGGCAAGCTACAACAGCTGAAGAAAGATGCACGCCACGGATGCTACGTGTCGGTTCCGGCACATCTGCTGTATCAGCCATCGATGGAATCTCGGCGCCGGTATGCCGGCATCCTCTTGTCAGCCTTTGCCGGCAGCAATGGCTTGAAGGTATTGCTTGACCAGTGTGCTTTGACAGTAGCAAGGGCACGCCAGCCCGACATCCTTCACATGGTAGTCGGCCCAGGTCAGGACGGGAAGACGTTGGTTTTCGTGGATCACATGCGTGCAGTCTTTGGATCGGGTTTTGGATGTGCGCCCTCCAGCATGCTGCAAACAGAACGCGAATTCCAACAACAAGGGTCGAACTTTATACAGTGTTGCTACTTGGTGTTTGACGAATGTCGCCGAGAACAGGGCTTGATAGAAGACTTGGTAAAGGTCTTCGTCGGAGGCGGGTGGTTGCCTTTGCGTCGCAATCACGAGGCTGAAACAAAGTACGCCCATTGGGCCTTCGCTGGCAAGGCGTGGTGCCTAAATGTTGGGGACATTCCGTACCTTCCCACATCGCAGGAGATCTCTCATGCCCGCAGGTTCCGCTGCACCTTCATGCGGAGTCACTTCACAAGCAACGTTGCGGATGTCGACCCGGATCGGAAGGTTTTCAAAGCCGACCCAAGTGCGAAGGTCTTCATGGCTTCCGGAGAGGCAGTCTGGTGTTTTTATCATGACTTCTTGTTCCCTCACCTGCGGAAGTTCGGTATCCACGCCTGCAGCAATGCTTTGGAATATGGCACTGGGTCTGCGAGCACGGCAAAGGATTCTGAATGGCTCTTGAAGCGCATGAACCGGAGCACGGACGCCTGTTGTCCGGAAGATCTCGAGTGCCAGGGCACCTTTGACCAGAAAGAGAAGCAGCGCTCTACATCTGAGAAGATCGTTAGAGAAACGCACAATGTGGTTGATCAGGATTTCTTCTCTGCTGTGGGGCACCGAGTTGTGCTACTTGTAAGTTTGGGACCTCGCGATGTGTGTTTTCATGGATATGTTGCACGTTGAGTTTGCGCCGCTTGTCGGTCTGCTGCGCTTATCTAGGTCATCTAGGTATTACTTTTGCTGGCATGTTGCATGCATCTGCTGTTGCTGTCGTGATCGTTGGATTCGAACCTTGCTGGAAGAGACGGTATGCCAGTGTGTCTTGAAGTGCATGTCCTTTTGTTGGAGTTGGTGGCAAAGGCCAGTCCGCCAAAAAAGACCCGTTTTATTAGTGTGTGCTTGTCGCGAGATGGTTCGCCCTGTCAACGTGGTAGTGCATTCGCACGGTGTTGTTTTTCAAGTTGGTCGTCAAAGGATGCTGTTTGAGAGTCGCATGGTGGGCACATTGTAGCACATGCTCAAGATAAACTGTCTGCATGTTCGCTCGTCGTTGCTCGTGGTGCTGTCGTAGTTTGGCCTCTGGTGTCGGGTTTTTCTGCACATTGATCTTTACGCCAGTGGACTGAAGGTGCGCTGAGCGTCTAGAAGGCTTGAGAGATTTGGGGGGAGGGGCAATGGAGCGAATTGAGTTGCGATTGGCGTGGAAAGTGCGATGTTGCCTGGCGCATGTCGACGTTGCATAGAATATAGAAGGCGCAATCTGTTATTCGTCGCTGGTCTGGTGTCCGAATGCTTGTTTTGCAGCGACTGTTGCAGGAGACGGCAGCAAAGGCTTATCCGAAAAAAAGCCCCATTTTGTTAGTGTCGCGCGTCGTCGGTTGCTTTGCCATTTGTGTTTGGCGAGAACAGGCAAGGGAGCGGAAGCAAAAGAACCTGTCTGTTTCTGTGCGCTTCTCGTCACGCGTGTTGTCGTCGTGACTTCGAACTATGTTGTTGGTCCTTCTGCACGTTGATCTTGACGCCAGTGGACGGAAGGTGCACTGAACGTGTATAAGGCTTGAGAGATTTTGGGAGGAGGGGCAATGGAGCGAATTGAGTTGCGAGTTGCGTGGAAAGTGCGATGTTGCCTGGCGCATGTCGACGTTGCATAGAAGCCGCAATCTGTTATTCGTTGATGGTCTAGCTGGTGTCCACGTGCTTGTCTTGCATGTTCGGTTGCAGGAGACGGCAGCAAAGGCTTATCCGAAAAAAAAGCCCCATTTTGTTAGTGTCGCGCGCCGTCGGTTGCTTTGTGTTAGTACTGCGTGGTCTTCTGTTGCTAGCGGGGTTGCTGCAAGTTTATCCTTTCGGGCGTTTTGCTGGCAATGACGGCTACAAGGATTCACAGTGTGTCCTCGAGACTGGGAGCTGCTGCTTGTGCCACTTTTAGGCTAGTCTTGTTGCCGTGGTTGTGATTGTGTGATGTCTGGTGCTGCCTGTGTGTGCAAGCATTCACGAAAAAGAAATCGATCCGTTTTGCTGTTGAGTGGCCAGTTGTTGACCGTCTGAGGCGGATGTAAACCGGCTGACTGTACCGTCTAATCCCGGTGCAGTGGTCCCAAAAGGTGGCAAGGCACAGGCAGCCGGCAAAAAGCTTCGCGTGGACTTCCTGAAGGAATCGATTCAACTCTTCCCGAACCTTATCCGGATCGTGGCCGGTCAAACTCGGCAAGGTGTGTCGTTGGACCGTTTCCAACGTCGGCAGATCGACGTTGCTGACTGGGAAAGGAGAACTTGGCGAAAGGGATGTAGAGATGGAACTTAATGTGTTTGTTGGAAACTAGCTTGTTGTCTCGTGCTCATGAACCTTTGGACAGGACGCTGGAGAAGGTAGCGCAGGAGTCACAGGAGGCTTCAGTGTCTCATGTGTTTGGTGGTTGGGATGCTTGGCCTTGGCGGCCCGAAAGTGAGCAATGGCAGGATCCAGAAGAAGGCCTGCAAACCTTGCCTCAGGGTGAAGCTTGGTCCTTGGTTTGCCACGTCGATGTTGCAAAGCTTCGGCGTTATCAAGATTTGCAGATCGACAGGCGGCCAGAACAGTTGCAGGCATTCTTGTCGTCCTTGCCCGAGGATGCCAGCAGTAGCGCCGCAGGCGTGACTGCAGTGACCATCGTTGGGCACCAAAAGATTCTTGATGACAAGTCCGTCGGAAGAGTTGCATTTCCATGGTCAAGCCTGCCACACTTGACTCGCGAAGCGCGGGCGGCGGCTTCGCCAGAGGGATCTCGTGAGTTCGACATGCCCAATGCAGTCGTTTTCTTTGCTTTACAGATTGGCAAAGAGCTGAATGTGGATCTCCCTGCGTTCGCACGTTATTCGGCGCACAAGGCCTTGTGGAGGAAAGCTGTGATGCAGTGGCTGGGCATGTCGATGCATGACGCGAAGAAGACGTTGCTGCGTGCGGTGTTCGGGTTCGCTTCCTTGTCCGCTTCTGGGGGGAAGATGTCTTCATGTCCTTTGCTGGATGCTCTGGCTGTAGACGGGAACAAGCTTAAGCAAGCACTTGCAGACAAACATCCCGGTCTGGTCAAAGCTCTGAAAGCTGCTGGAAAGAAGAGGCCAGAGACGTCCACGATGGCGTACATCTTGTTTGACCGGGAGAACACATACTTGCAAGACTTCGCGAGCTTACTGCCAAAGCACGGGTACCACATGGTCACTCCTGTGTACGATGCGGTGGTGGCCGTGCCTGCGCAGGGACATGACGTCGATGCCTCACAGGCGGAGCAAGATTTGCTGGATGAGTTTGACGTCAAATGCGGTGTGCGCATGCAGGCGTCCACCGTGCAGGTTGCTGTCAAAGATCGCAACATCGCGCACATTGTGGAGCAGCTGTTGGCGACTGGGAAAGGCATGAAGTTGGAGGATGCGCAGGAAAAGGAGGTGTTGCCGGGCATGGGCATGTGCATCCCGCAAGCACTCATCAACCTCTTCCCGACGATGGAAGAAGACTTGAGAACAGCTTTCGAAGGCTCGGCGGGACCATTCTCATACCGAGAAATCATGGAGCGGTGCGGGAGTGTGAACATTGAGCCCATCCACTTCGAGGACAGAGCAGGTGTCGGAGAGGAATCAAGATATCTCCTTCATGATGCCGAAGCAAACTGCCTTTCTCAGTGTGGGCATTGCTACGGTGTGGTTGCAGGCCCATCCGGCTTGATCCTGTGGACTTCCCAGCAGAACGACAGCGTGCAGTTGAGTGCAAGACTGTTCTGGGAGCATGCCCGGCAAATTACGGGAGTGAAACTGTTCAGGGTTGAATGCAATGCTGCGGTTGCCGCCCAGCGCAAGCGAAAGCGCGCACAGCCAATGCCCATTGCAGAGCTCGAGCTTCGTGCAGGCATGGATCTTGGGGAAGACATGATGGCCGTCATTCGACATCAAATGGCAGAAGAGGTCAAGGCAGAAGCCTCGCGCTGGGGGCTGATTTGTCTATGTGCTTGTGTTGATGCATGCATGCGCCTTGTTTGTGTGCTTGTCGTGGTGGTTTTGCTTATAGTTTTAAAGTGCGAGTTGTGGCAGATGTGTGTGTGTGTGTGAGTGCGTGCGTGCATGTGTGAGGTTTGCAAGATGCGGTAGGCCTAGCCGCCGACAAAGACAACAAATGCCGCTTGTGTCCTTTCCGAACTTTCCAGCGGAGATCGCGGACCTTGGAGCATGTGGAGAAGTACCATGTTGCTGCACGAGACTTTGTGGTACTACCTCAGCAGTTCTCAGTGGCATGTGCGGTCTTTGAGCAGAGACAGGCCAGGTGCAGATTGCATCGTGGTATCGATCGGTCCTGTCAGTTGCAAGCAGAGGGACGGTGCGTGCGGTGTGCGTGTGAGAGAGTGTCTGTTAAGTCATGGTTTGTTTGTTGCGGGCGATCTGCTCTATGGCCATCTTGCTATGTGCAGGTGATGCGCACGTGGCAAGCCGGTGATGAAAGTTGTGATTTGTTGTCGACGGCCGCTGACTTGATCGCTTCCTGGGTGAGTCCGGATGCCGACACCCTTGCATGTTTGAAGAAGCAGAACTCCATTGATCTGGTTTTGCTTTTGACCGGCAGCGGCCCTCAGTATGTTCTCAAAGGGCAAACAGCAGAAGCCAAGCGCCTGAACAAAGCCATCTACTACCAGAAGGGCTTCGCTGATCTAGTGCTCGCCAAAGCTTTGCGGCATCGCGGGAAAATCCACGCCATGTTCAACGACATCACAGCGGAATGGGTTGCTCGAGGTTGTCAGTGTTCGTGGCTCGGATGTCGCCGCCGGGACAGTCGCACGGAGCTTGTGCAGGAGGTCATGGACCTCCCGTATGTGCAATCTCTTCGGGGTCGTCTCGTTGATGCTGCCACAAGCAAACAGGAGTGGATCGTCTGCAGCCACGATGCCACCTATCAAACCCTGTTTTCAATCATCGGGCAGCGGCCCATGCAGCAGCGGGCCGGAGAAGCACATGCGCTGCACACACTCATTGGTCGCTCTGGCGCGGTGCCGGGCTTCAGCTTGCAAGCGACGGAAGGCTGCGCATGCTTCCGGAACGCAGTGGCCGAGATCCTCCCTTTAGCTGCACGCAGAACCGTGCGTTTCCTATTCAGTGACTCTCCGGAGTCGGTCGAGGGGGCCACGGACGTTTTGCCAGCTCTGGAGGGGGTTGCGGAAGACCCTCTGCATTTGGTGCTGCGTGTTGAAGCGTGCACTGGGGAGCGCCGCACGACGTGCTCTGCGGCGTTGTTGCGTGTTCAAATGAAATTCCGGTGCCCAGAAGCAGGAGCGTTCTATCAGGGAGAACGGGTAGCAGATCAGGATGCGTGGGACGATGTAAAGGCACGTGATTGGGCGTCTATACAGTCGCCAGAGTATCTTCAAAGCGCGTACTCCTGCGATCGACAGTATCTGGAGGCCATCGAAAGTTTTGTATTGTGTGAGGTGTAAGGCAGTTTGCGAAGGGAGCAACTGGTTTAGTGACTTCCCAATGGCTTAAGTGTTGCAGCATCTTTGTGCGCACCAGTCCCGATCGATGAGAAACCAGTTCGGGCGCTAGCCACCCGTTCATGCAGTAGTTATAGCGTGATAAAAAAAAGATAATGCATTAGTACAGTCTGCGATGGAGCCTGGGAGGACCTCCGTGCAGTATGTCAGCAGTTTCCCGAAGAAATGAAGCGTAAAGACCACAAAGGGAGGACGGTGCTGCAGATAATTCAAGCCGGCGGGTCTGGTCGCCACTTCCGTTATTTGTTGAACGGTTCACATATCCTTGCCAAGTTGAAGGACATCCTGCCTGCAGCCGACATGCAGTTGCTGAGTTTCGGTACTTGTAGCAACGAAGCCTTGCATGCCCAGTTGAAGTCGTCCCAAGAGGTCATCGTTCAGCAGCACCTTGAAGTGGTGCCGTTGCACTTGTCAGCATTCTCTCTCGGAAAATTGCTGGCCCACCATGCCGCTGCCTACTTCCCGACCATTGCACAGCGGCGAGAGTCAGAGATCCTGTCATTGTTGCAGGGTCGAATTGTTGCTGGGCTCCTGCCAGCACTGAGCCGGGAGGAGGAAAGAGTGCTGAGGACCAGGGAGGATCTTCGCAAGCCTGTCCATGATTTGGATTCCAGCAAAGTCCAACGGCGGCAGGCTGTTGCAGCGAGGCAGCAGTCAAGTTGGCAGCGTGAACAAGGGATCCGGAAGGAGAAGCGAAACAGAAGGCAGGTGACCGGCGTGCATGGGGCAACGACAAAGCGCACCATTTTCACCAAGAAGAAGCCAGCCGGCATGATGTGGGAGATTTTGTTTGTTGAAATGTTGGGCTTGCAGGGGGGCAGTGAGGTGGTTGGTTTTTGATGTTGCTGGCAGTGAGGGTAGGGATCGTGGAGTATGTGGCTGTTTGCGGCCGTGGCGCTACCCAACTTACAAATCCATATTCAAACTGAAGGCGAAGGAGATTACATCTCTCAGATGTGGTTGTGTCAGGTGTCCGAAGCGCAAAGCACAGCCGCCTGCGGAACGAAATCGTGGCAGAGTAGAGGCCGTTCCTGGCCTGCCCCATTTGTGTGTAATTTTGCAGAATCGAAAGCGCAAGTTAAAGGGTGCGGTTGGTTTCTCAACAAGACGCTCGCAATAGGTATGCTGTTAATTACTTGATTGTCGCAGGCAGCGCGTGCCGATGTGGCCATGTAAGCGGAGTACGTGGAGGCAGGACGCGATGTAAGGCTGGCGAGCTGTCTTTGGGGTGAGGCAGAAGCGCGGGACAGCGAATAGAATAGAGTCTTTCGTGATCATGCAGATACCAGAACTTCGTAGTAGTAGAGTCTGTGGCTTCGAAATGTTTCGGAGCCGGCACGGCAAAAGGATAGTTAGGGTTGCGAGTGAGTCTTTGCACCTGGGCTTGCCACCAGATTTGGCCAGAAGTTTGGAATGAGTTTGTTTGCTGTTGAAAGTTTGCTTTGTCAGTCTCCAGTCCGCGTAGCTACAGGAAGCCAACTCGGGGGTCTAGTAAGGACTGGTGGAACAATTCGCTCACGAAATTCATTGTATTGCCTGCCGACGTAGACATCGTTGCAATCGTAGCCTGCCCGACACCGATGAAATTGTTTGTCGTCAAGTTTGCAAGGAAGGCCACGGAAGCAAAAGTTTCCAAAGAAAAAAAGCCCCATTTTGTTAGTCTCCGGTCTGCGGGAACTGGGGCTGCAACTCGACCCACAATAGGTTCAACCAATCGCTCAAGAAACTTGTAGTGGTTGCAGACTGCGGACGTAGTCATTGTCGTAGCCATTGCTTGCACGACAAAAAGCAAAAGTTTCCAAAGTAAAAAAGCCCCATTTTGTTAGTCTCCGGTCCGCGGGAACTGCGGGCTGCAATTTGCAGAGTGCGGACGTAGTCATCGTCGTAGCCACTGCTTGCGCGACATGGATGAAGTTGTTTGTTGTCCAGTTTGCAAGGAAGGCCACGGAAGCAAAAGTTTCCAGCGAAAAAAAAGCCCCATTTTGTTAGTCTCCGGTCTGCGGAACTGGGGCTGCAACTCGACCCACAATAGGTTCAACCAATCGCTCAAGAAACTTGTAGTGGTTGCAGACTGCGGACGTAGTCATTGTCGTAGCCATTGCTTGCACGACAAAAAGCAAAAGTTTCCAAAGAAAAAAAAGCCCCATTTTGTTAGTCTCCGGTCCGCGGGAACTGCGGGCTGCAATTTGCAGAGTGCGGACGTAGTCATCGTCGTAGCCACTGCTTGCGCGACATGTATGAAGTTGCTTGTTGTCCAGTTTGCAAGGAGAAAGCAGAAGTTTCCAACGAAAAAAAGCCCCATTTTGTTAGTCTCCGGTCTGCGGGAACTGGGGGTTGCAACTCGACCCAGGATAGGTTCAACCAATCGTTCAAGAAACTTGTAGTGGTTGCAGACTGCGGACGTAGTCATTGTCGTAGCCATTGCTTGCACGACAAAAAGCAAAAGTTCCCAAATAAAAAAAGCCCCATTTTGTTAGTCTCCGGTCCGCGGGAGCTGGGGGCTGCAATTTGCAGACTGCGGACGTAGTCATCGTCGTAGCCACTGCTTGCGCGACATGGATGAAGTTGCTTGTTGTCCAGTATAGTTTGCAAGGAAGGCCATGAAAGCAGAAGTTTCCAACGAAAAAAAAGCCCCATTTTGTTAGTCTCCGGTCTGCGGCAACCGGGAGCTGCAACTCGACCCAGGATAGGTTCAACCAATCGCTCAAGAAACTTGTTGTAGTGGTTGCAGACTGCGGACGTAGTCATCGTGGTAGCCATTGCTTGCGACATGGATGAAGTTGCTTGTTGTCAAGTTTGCAAGGAAGCCCATGATAGCAGAAGTCTTTCCAAAGAAAAAGCCCCATTTTGTTAGTCTCCGCTCCGCTGCAGCTTCGGGATTCGAGCAAACATTGTTTGAACAAGGTGTTCAGGAGGTTCACTGCAGTCCCTGCGGGTGTAAGTCATCGGGTCGAGCCTTCTCCTCATAAGCACCTGTAAGCATTCCTTGAAGTGCCGCCAGATTGCTTGGCGTTTGATCTCGATGGGCTCTTTGATCCCATGTTCCGGCCTGGCAGCCCAGTTCGTTCATGGTCGTCGGAAAGTTGACAGGGTTCATCTCCGGAGCTGTTGCGTCGTGACAATTCGCAGTCGTGTAACCTACAACAAGGGATTACACCAGGCAACACCACCGTCACACTTGCCTTCCTGACCCCTAAACCAAAAGACCCTTGCCCTGGCAGTCCTGAACCCGAAGATGTCGTAAGCACCCCAGACTAAAGGACACTTGTCCCTTATTTAGTGTAATTTTACCTTAGGGTTCAATCGGTGTAAAAAGTTAGGTTTGGGGTGTGGGCCTGGCGTGCAGGCTTGCAGAGGAGGTCGTCGAGTCGTCGGGATTATGCACTTATCAGGGCTTGAATCCTTAGGGTAATTCAATATCAAATCCATCGTCATGTGTCATCCATCACCATGCATGTTCATGATCATCGTTAACATCAGCATCACAAGCGCTCATCAGTATCAGCTGAAAGTAACAGCAGCACCATGTTCACCAGCCTCCCCATGGTCATGGCGATCATGAGCATCGTCGTTCATCGCTCATAGCCCATCATCGTAACCGTCAGCACCACCATCTCAAGCAACTGCAGCAGCGTGACCAACTATCATCTTGAAATATTCATCATCAGCACCGTCATCATCGCAGTGTCATCAGAGAGCATCTATGAAAGCACCACCGCAAGCCTGAAGTGTCAGCAGCATCATAAGACCGCTTTAGGGTGGTAAGGGGGATTTAGGGCTTTAGGGGCTTAGGTCTTTAGAAGTTTAAGTATTTAGGGCTAGAGGGGCTTAGGTACTAACTTAGGTCATTAGCTTCTTTTCCGGAATTGAAGCCTGAAGCCCAAAACTCACAACTAATTGGACCTAGTAACCGAAAGCTCGGTAAGCCTTCAAAAGCCGGTATACACTTAGAGGCTTTGCTAACTACAATATCGGGTTGGGGTGCTTGGCACCCATATTTGGGGCTTCTGGGTTGGGTGTGTGGGCTTCTGGGCATTCGGTTTCGAGACCCTAAGCCTAAGCCCTAAACCTTCCGAACCTCAATGGTGATTGTACTGAAGCTGTTCGCGATGCTGAAAGAATGAGCATTGATAAATGGTGGTGCTGCTGGTGATGTAGAAACAAAGAGACATGCATGATGACTGATAGCTGAAGATGATAGTGATGGATGATGAAGACGATAGTATTGACAGCAATGACACATTGAACTGATTGTGTGTTGGGCTTGGTTGAGTATGGTACTGTCTCTGGCCTCTGTCTCTGTTGTTTGTCTGTTTTTTGGCACACAACCACACAAAATCGATATCGTACTTACTTTGGGCTGAGATCTTATAGTTGCCTTGCCTTGCCGACCCAGCGCCAAACTCTGCTACTTTAGCCATAGTGCAAGCCAGCTACGTCGCAGATTCAGCCGAAAGTTCGAAAGGCGGGCCAAGGGGGTTTTGACCTAAGCGGCCGTGCACCAGTAGCTAAACAACAGGCATGACAGAAAGGAAAGGGTGCCTAGTTCGTTCGTTGCATGGAGAGGAGGAGGCATCGCCAAGCACATGTCCCAAGTGGAACACCAAAATCACACTGTTGCCGCCGAGTCAGACTCCAACTCATTCATGGCTTGACGGTCTCCGAATTCATAGACTTTGCTGCCGCCTGCATGTTGCTGAGAATATTGTGCTCCCGAGTGCCGTGCGTATTTTGGCTGTAGGACATAGTTGACATAGTCGCCCGAAGTAGCTTGTAAGTCCTTGCAGGGCCATGCTATTAAGGCTTTTTTGGCATGTGCAGTGAGCAGTTCTGGTTGGCACGCAGTTGTCTGAGGATGCTGCAGGGTCTGCCGGTGACCTGGTCGATGTTTGTTCAGTGTTTTGGCTTACCCCAGCAGAAGTTGCCTTACGCCCAGTGATTGCGACAGCAACCCGATCAAAGTCCACACACGCAGTTAGGCTCACGATCTGTAGCCTAAGCATTGCAAAGGGTTCGTGCCCAGAACTTCGAAAGCAGGTGCGCTGTCAGCGCCATGCTGTATCCTGGCTGGTCTAAGTGTGGGTGTGGACGTCTGCATTGGACCCGAAGCGCAAGTGTGGCCGGCGCTGCCCTAGCTCGCTGCCGAGCCAATCATGTTCGAGGAAAGTTCTTGAAACTGCGGCAGGCCAAGATGACGGCTCAGAACTCGTTAGTTGTCCTCCTGTCTCACGAGGGGGCGCGGCATCATCACCGTCGCTTGGCCGAGGAGTGGAAGCAGAATGGCTTTGGACGCCAGTTGGTGAAGTACGGTTTTTCCTACAAGAGCTGCCACGGCCCGACCAAGATTACTGGCAATCGTCTGACGATGTACAACTGGCGCTTTCGGTGGCTCCCAGCCATATGCACCGCTTTGGAGAAGCATCAGGACATCCGACACGTTATTGCGTGCGAGAACAACGCGTCCTTTGACGATTGCAACGGTGCTGCGGTTCTGAAGACTGTCAATGCGACCCCAGACAAAGACATTCATTGGTTGGGCTACATCAAAGTTCACCCAGCAAACAAATCTTGGTTCTGGGGTGGGCGCTGGCAGATCCAAGGTTCGAAAGTGGTGGTGTTTTCCCGAACATCCTTGTTTGATTTGTATGAAAAGCTCTCGGCACTCAATGCAGTGTCTCAGTTCTGTCATCACGATCTTTGGCTGTCGCGCCAGTTTCAAGACAAGATCGCGGTTCCTAAGCAGTCTATGTTTGGAGTCCGCAGACACCACAGCACCTCTTGTGCCGACACCAAAGGTGTCCTGGACATCGCTCGGAAGCGCGCCCAGAAAGGATTCAGAG